GCCTTGTATCTTGTGGCTATACCAATGATCTCATCAGTACCTTGTATCTTGTGGCTATACCAATTATCTCATCTGTACCTTGTATCTTGTGGCTATAACAATTATCTCATCTGTACCTTGTATCTTGTGGCTATACCAATTATCTCATCTGTACCTTGTATCTTGTGGCTATACCAATTATCTTGTCTGTGCCTTGTATCTTGTGGCTATACCAATTATCTCATCTGTACCTTGTATCTTGTGGCTATACCAATTATCTTGTCTGTGCCTTGTATCTTGTGGCTATACCAATTATCTCATCTGTACCTTGTATCTTGTGGCTATACCAATTATCTCATCTGTGCCTTGTATCTTGTGGCTATACCAATTATCTCATCTGTGCCTTGTATCTTGTGGCTATACCAATTATCTCATCTGTACCTTGTATCTTGTGGCTATACCAATTATCTTGTCTGTGCCTTGTATCTTGTGGCTATACCAATTATCTCATCTGTGCCTTGTATCTTGTGGCTATACCAATTATCTTGTCTGTGCCTTGTATCTTGTGGCTAATACCAATTATCTCATCTGTACCTTGTGTCTTGTCTTGTGGCTATACCAATTATCTCATCTGTACCTTGTATCTTGTGGCTATACCAATTATCTCATCTGTGCCTTGTATCTTGTGGCTATACCAATTATCTCATCTGTGCCTTGTATCTTGTGGCTATACCAATTATCTCATCTGTGCCTTGTATCTTGTGGCTATAACAATTATCTCATCTGTGCCTTGTATCTTGTGGCTATACCAGTTATCTCATCTGTGCCTTGTATCTTGTGGCTATACCAATTATCTCATCTGTGCCTTGTATCTTGTGGCTATACCAATTATCTCATCTGTACCTTGTATCTTGTGGCTATACCAATTATCTTGTCTGTGCCTTGTATCTTGTGGCTATACCAGTTATCTCATCTGTACCTTGTATCTTGTGGCTATACCAATTATCTCATCTGTACCTTGTATCTTGTGGCTATACCAATTATCTCATCTGTACCTTGTATCTTGTGGCTATACCAGTTATCTTGTCTGTGCCTTGTATCTTGTGGCTATACCAATTATCTCATCTGTACCTTGTATCTTGTGGCTATACCAATTATCTTGTCTGTGCCTTGTATCTTGTGGCTATACCAATTATCTTGTCTGTGCCTTGTATCTTGTGGCTATACCAATTATCTCATCTGTGCCTTGTATCTTGTGGCTATACCAATTATCTCATCTGTACCTTGTATCTTGTGGCTATACCAATTATCTCATCTGTGCCTTGTATCTTGTGGCTATACCAATTATCTCATCTGTGCCTTGTATCTTGTGGCTATACCAATTATCTTGTCTGTGCCTTGTATCTTGTGGCTATACCAATTATCTCATCTGTGCCTTGTATCTTGTGGCTATACCAATTATCTCATCTGTACCTTGTATCTTGTGGCTATACCAATTATCTCATCTGTACCTTGTATCTTGTGGCTATACCAATTATCTTGTCTGTGCCTTGTATCTTGTGGCTATACCAATTCCTGCCTTTGCATCTTGTGGCTATATTATCTCATCTGTGTGCCTTGTATCTTGTGGCTATACCAATTATCTCATCTGTACCTTGTATCTTGTGGCTATACCAATTATCTCATCATTACCTTGTATCTTGTGGCTATACCAATTATCTCATTCATATTGTGCCTTGTATCTTCTGTGGCTGTACCATCTTATCTTATCTCATCTGTACCTTGTATCTTGTGGCTATACCAATTATCTTGTCTGTGCCTTGTATCTTGTGGCTATACCAGTTATCTTGTCTGTGCCTTGTATCTTGTGGCTATACCAATTATCTCATCTGTGCCTTGTATCTTGTGGCTATACCAATTATCTCATCTGTACCTTGTATCTTGTGGCTATACCAATTATCTTGTCTGTGCCTTGTATCTTGTGGCTATACCAATTATCTCATCTGTACCTTGTATCTTGTGGCTATACCAATTATCTCATCTGTGCCTTGTATCTTGTGGCTATACCAATTATCTCATCTGTGCCTTGTATCTTGTGGCTATACCAATTATCTTGTCTGTGCCTTGTATCTTGTGGCTATACCAATTATCTTGTCTGTGCCTTGTATCTTGTGGCTATACCAATTATCTCATCTGTACCTTGTATCTTGTGGCTATACCAATTATCTCATCTGTACCTTGTATCTTGTGGCTATAACAATTATCTCATCTGTGCCTTGTATCTTGTGGCTACCAATAATCTCTCATCTGTACCTTGTATCTTGTGGCTATACCAATTATCTTGTCTGTGTGTACCTTGTATCTTGTGGCTATACCAATTATCTTGTCTGTACCTTGTATCTTGTGGCTATACCAATTATCTCATCTGTGCCTTGTATCTTGTGGCCATACCAATTATCTCATCTGTACCTTGTATCTTGTGGCTATACCAATTATCTTGTCTGTGCCTTGTATCTTGTGGCTATACCAATTATCTCATCTGTACCTTGTATCTTGTGGCTATACCAATTATCTTGTCTGTGCCTTGTATCTTGTGGCTATACCAATTATCTTGTCTGTGCCTTGTATCTTGTGGCTATACCAATTATCTTGTCTGTGCCTTGTATCTTGTGGCTATACCAATTATCTCATCTGTACCTTGTATCTTGTGCTATACCCAATTATCTTGTCTGTGCCTTGTATCTTGTGGCTATACCAATTATCTTGTCTGTCCTTGTATCTTGTGGCTATACCAATTATCCCATTATGTACCTTGTATCTTGTGGCCATAACCAATTATCTCATCTGTGCCTTGTATCTTGTGGCTATACCAATTATCTCTGTCAGTACCTTGTATCTTGTGGCTATACCAATTATCTTGTCTGTGCCATGTATCTTGTGGCTATACCACAATTATCTCATCTGTACCTTGTATCTTGTGGCTATACCAATTATCTCATCTGTGCCTTGTATCTTGTGGCTATACCAATTATCTCATCTGTGCCTTGTATCTTGTGGCTATACCAATTATCTCATCTGTGCCTTGTATCTTGTGGCTATACCAATTGTCCATCTCTTGTCTTGTACCGGTACCTATCTCATCTGTACCCTTGTATCTTTGTGCTATACCATTTATCTTGTCTGTACCTTGTATCTTGTGGCTATACCAATTATCTCATCTGTGCCTTGTATCTTGTGGCTATAACAATTATCTTGTCTGTGTTTCATGTATCTTGTGGCTATACCAATGATCTCATCTGTACCTTTGTATCTTGTATGCTATACCAATTATCTTGTCTGTACCTTGTATCTTGTGGCTATACCAATTATCTCATCTGTGCCTTGTATCTTGTGGCCACACCAATTATCTTCATCTGTACCTTGTATCTTGTGGCTATACCAATTATCTTATCTGTGCCTTGTATCTTGTGGCTATACTTTGTGACCATCTCATGTTGTGCCTTGTATCTTGTGGCTATAACAATTATCTTGTCTGTGCCATGTATCTTGTGGCTATACCAATTATCTTGTCTGTGCCTTGTATCTTGTGGCTATACCAATTATCTCATCTTCATGTACCAATTGTATCTTGTGGCTATACCAGTTATCTCATCTGTGCCTTGTATCTTGTGGCTATACCAATTATCTTGTCTGTGTGCCTTGTATCTTGTGGCTATACCCAGTTATCTTGTCTGTGCCTTGTATCTTGTGGCTATACCAATTATCTCATCTGTACCTTGTATCTTGTGGCTATACCAATTATCTTGTCTGTGCCTTGTATCTTGTGGCTATACCAATTATCTTGTCTGTGCCTTGTATCTTGTGGCTATACCAATTATCTTGTCTGTGCCTTGTATCTTGTGGCCATACCAATTATCTTGTCTGTACCTTGTATCTTGTGGCTATAACAATTATCTTGTCTGTGCCTTGTATCTTGTGGCTATACCAATTATCTCATCTGTACCTTGTATCTTGTGGCTATACCAATTATCTCATCTGTACCTTGTATCTTGTGGCTATACCAATTATCTTGTCTGTGCCTTGTATCTTGTGGCCATACCAATTATCTCATTATCTGTGTCCTTGTATCTTGTGGCTATACCCAATTATCTCATCTGTGCCTTGTATCTTGTGGCTATACCAATTATCTCATCTGTGCCTTGTATCTTGTGGCTATAACAATTATCTTGTCTGTGCCTTGTATCTTGTGGCTATAACAATTATCTCATCTGTACCTTGTATCTTGTGGCTATACCAATTATCTCATCTGTACCTTGTATCTTGTGGCTATACTAATTATCTCATGTCTGTGCCTTGTATCTTGTGGCTATACCAATTATCTCATCTGTGCTTTTGTATCTTGTGGCTATAATTAATTATCTCATCTGTGCCTTGTATCTTGTGGCTATACCAATTATCTTGTCTGTGCCTTGTATCTTGTGGCTATACCAATTATCTCATCTGTGCTTTGTATCTTGTGGCTATACCAATTATCTCATCTGTGCCTTGTATCTTGTGGCTATACCAATTATCTCATCTGTGCCTTGTATCTTGTGGCTATACCAATTATCTTGTCTGTGCCTTGTATCTTGTGGCTATACCAATTATCTCATCTGTACCTTGTATCTTGTGGCTATACCAATTATCTTGTCTGTGCCTTGTATCTTGTATACATACCAATTATCTCTGTCTGTGCCTTGTATCTTGTGGCCATACCAATATCTCATCTGCATCTGTACCTTGTATCTTGTGGCTATACCAATTATCTCATCTTGTACCTTGTATCTTGTGGCTATACCAATTATCTCATCTCTACTTAAAATCTTGTTGTATCTTGTGGTACTATACCAATTATCTCATCTGTAACTTGTATCTTGTGGCTATACCAATTATCTTGTCTATCTTGTCTATGCTGCCAGTTATATGACCACTGTCTTGTCTGTGTTGCCAGTATGACCACTATGTTGTGTGGGATGTTTCAGATCGGCCTTGCTGTAGGGGACATCCAGAGTGTGCTGACCAATGCTCGGTTACAGAGGCTGACACTCCAGGTAACACAACAGAGATTTCACCCACGAACAGGGAGTAGTCGCTTGTATGATACAAATGGCTGTCGTCGTTTGTTTGTTTTTCTAGATTGATGACAAATTACGTTTTGCTTCTTTTGTGCCTCTTTGTGATGGAAGATACAATTTCATAAGACATCAAGTTCTTACAGCAGTAATATTGTGTTGAACTGTATTAATATTCCTGTAACATTTGTGATGCCATCTCCTGTCCCCCAGGTGAACCTCCACTCGGACATAGAGAGGAAGATGCCGAGGGAGCTGCTGGTGAAGCTGGACAAGGAAACCTACAGAGTGTACCCCAACAGACGGAGGACCTTCCTCCAGAACGTCAGTACCCTAATGATGTCCAGGGAACCTGTGATCAGCATACTAGTGGATGCTTCACCTTACACCTACCCAATGTGCACCATAATGTCGCATTTCAGTTGACAGATATTTTTGATGATTTACTGATAATGGCATGGTGCATCAGGAAGAACATTATTTGTGGGACAGATCATATCTCTGTCGCCTTGTCTGTGGGTTTAGAGACACGAGCTTTCTAATGGGTTTGGAATACATTTGTCTTTCTCGTTTAGAACTATTGTACATAACACGCACTGTTAATTCTCAAAGAGTTATGTCACATTTGAGTTCTGTTCCATACCCTGATGATCCTGTTCGTTGTTCCTTAACATGCGGAGACTATGGGTAGGGTTGGTTAGGCCAGGGTTAGGCAGTGGTAAGGGTTAAGCTACGGTTTGTTAAGTATATGGTTTCTGATGTTCAGTGCTTGGGGTTACCTGTGAAAGGTCTCATGACCATGCTTGTTTCACTACAGATGTGGTCCAAGGTTATGTCCTACGACAACGAATTTAACGGCATGGACGAGGGTCGAACCGCAGCCCACAACCAATACGTCTACACGGAGCTGAACAAACAGAAGAACAGGTATACCCATATTAGGGCATGGTGGCTTCGTTAGTTTGTGCGATGATTGATCTCACGAGCATTCCGATTCATAGTCACAAAACTGCGAACTATTCTTAAAGCCACTTCCTGTAACACTAGTGCGTGTTTCACATGCTTTCCAAGCACAAGCTGCATTAGCTGTGTACTTATGGCAATACACTGGTAGTTTATAGATGCGGTGTCAGACGGAACATCTAGCTGTGTGGTGTTTCCTATACATCCCTATCTAGATAAAGTTCTGTCATGGGTTTTCCTTCTTGCTTCTGGCGTAGACTATCTATTAAAAGGACCATTATAAAGTAGTTAACGTTTGCACAAGTCAAATTGAAACGCTATTTTTTTGCAAGTAAGTAATGTATACATCTATATTCATTTTATAGAATGAAATAAGTTATTATTCTGTTCACTCTCTTCCCAGGTTGAAAGAGTTGTCGGGCACGATGGAGCGGAACCATGACCTCCTGCGTCAGATTGCCCGGGGGATGGACATTCACTCGGAGGAAGATGCCAGGGATGAAGGCCTCGCCTCTGCTGATAGTCTCCAGTCATTGCTCTTCCCTGACGGCCAGTCGCTGGAGTGGTCGTCCACGTCACTCGGGAGGGTCATGCTGCAGCAGTCCATGGTGGTGGCCTGGTGGAAGCGGTTCGCTGGACGGGGGCGAGGGGAGGAATACGGCGGGGACGAGGGGGCAGGAGATGAGGTCAAGATTATATATTGTAGGGGGTTACTTCTTGGAACTATGTACATCATCCGTTCATACGTATTCGTTTACTTGAGCATATATCGAATTGTGGTGTGACTGACAACCCCATTACTCCACAGGTATTTTATATTGAATATAGAATATTATTTACAGTGAAATGTCGAACTTTCATGTGTCCAACATACAGTTGTCTCTGAAGAAAAGGTTTGCTCCCTCCATATTCCGTATTTAGTCATCGGTTTGTGGTTGTGGTGAACTTTAGACATTTGTATTTGCGCGGGGCCCTTCAACCTCGAAACAACGGTGTTTATCATATTAATATAAGCCGTGATTTTTGTATAATTGACGGCAGGTAAACAATTACCTTGGTTACCTTTGATATTTAATAACCTTTGTCCTATAAACCTGATTCCGGTTTCGTCTCATCTGTCTGCATGTGAAAAGGGTCTGTTGAGGAATTGATCAAACCAATCACATCATTGTGATTACCTGTTATACGTGCACAGTAAACCACAGGGTAAAACCAGGAATGTAAGAGTTGTGCTTTCTGAACAGAGGGTGGAGCCATTAGTGCACTGTTGTCACATTAGTGTCTGTACAAGGTGCGTTCGTCAAAATATTGTTTCTGCATTCCACCAATTCAGCGGTGTTGTAGGGAGCAGGTTTGTTACACCACGTTTCGTTAAGAGGTTATATTGAATCACATGCATAACATATGTGTTTATGTCCTGAGCTTAGGAAATGACACTTTCTCCAAACATATATGACGTGCCCATTAGGAAACTGATCTTTACATGATTGTCAAACATACACGTCGTGGCGACACAAAACAAGGCACAATAACATTGAAAACTGATGGCTGGGTTTTGCAATTTCTATAAATTCTATTGATACGAATATTTGATAACGTTAGTATCATACCAATTGAGGGACGGTGGGGTAGCCTAGTGGTTAAGGCGTTCGCTCGTCACGCCGAAGACCCAGGTTCGATTCCCCACATGGGTACAATGTGTGAAGGCCATTTCTGGTGTCCTCCGCCGTGATATTGCTGGAATATTGCTAAAAGCGGCGTAAAACCACTCATTCACTCATACCAATTGTTTACGATCAAAGTGTGGTGTGTATTTAACTGTTATGGGTTCATAACACTGGCTGTCTTCAGCTAGTAATTGTTTTGTATGTTATATTATGAATAAGTATTTGGTATCCTGCTGTATATATCACAAGTGTTAAATGAATAAATATATATTTACTACAATCCACCTTTGTCATGACAATCTGCTATCTACTTGAATATGAATAGTGTCCATAGCTTTCCAATCATTTTATTTCATATCTTTAACAATCAACGGAGAAAACACTTGAATCTTCTCATTCCGGAAATGGAATCAACAATCCATGGAAAAATCACTCGTTTCCGGAAGTGGAATGAAAGAATCTATTGATTCAGCTGCAGGAACCAATAAATTCGAGTGATTATAGATCTTTTTCACTTGTCGGTTTGAGCATTTTCGAGGAGTGCCTATAGCGATGACACACTCGTAAAATATTTCCCCGGTACAGCCTGTTTTCATTATATCAGTATATGTACCTAACTGAAACTGTTTCTAACAATATTTTGACACTGTTATTCAGAAAATAAAACTTCCGTATTTAATCGCCTACAACGTAGCATACTCACATGGAACGGTTTCAGAGGTACTTCAGTGATCTAAAAAAGGGGGAGAACTCTGTGCACCATAGCGGCTTGAGTTGCACTCCTGTCTCCAGGATTGCTTTAAACGGGCAGGTTGTTCGCTGTTTGGAGGCTTTTCAGTGGCTTGTATATTTTTACAAGCTTTATTGTTACATATTACTCGGAATTAAAACAAGACCGAGTATCCTGTCATTATGAGATGGGACCGAGGTGAATGCGGGTCACTTTGCCCTTATGGCGTCGTTTGGCGATCAGGGTTTACCTAGTCCTAAACCTGGTCCTTTCCATCGCCTTGGTAGATGCGATGTTGCAGATTATAGCGTAATACACCCACTCGTTTTAACCGTAACACTGACAGTAAGGTATTTGAGTGCTTGTGTGCGTGCACGCATGTGTCTTAGTCGACTGGTCCTTATCATATTTCGAACGTGATGCAGGATAACAATACAATCACTGTACCATCTGCAATGTCTTGACGCGGCCTGAAATTAAACCAACGACCTTCCTGGGCAGGAGCTCCATCACTTTGGGGGCTGAAGGGATGGAGAAAGCAAGCGCTCCGTTACGTATGATTTGTTTGTCTATTTGTTGTTTTACGCCGCACTCAGCAACAATCCAGCTACATGGCGGATGTAAATAATCAAGTCTTAACCATAACATTATTAACAGGTGAGTACCTATTTGTGTGGAACAAGGCATGATATAATTAAAATAGGTGGTGTCTTTATGTAAGGACCAAATCATAATGTGGTCAAAAGACCAGTGATTTCATGTTCTGGACAATCCATAACTTTATTGAAACCCAGTGTCTTACTTCGTGTGTGGAAGAACGCATGGCATTTCAAACTGCCAGGCACTTCACGTGTGGGTCAGGGTAGAAATATCCTTGTCTTTCTGTCATGGATAGGGCATACCATCACCATGCGTCAGCGTCTTCGCGTATTGGACAAGTCATAACATAATCCAAATATTAGAAGCTTCATGAATGGGACTAGGCAAAAGTTTAAATTCCTTAGAAATGTTAAATGTGAGACCCCACATAATATTGATCTATGCGGACAGTATTTGTGAAACATTCCTATACCATTGAGTCAATGGTAAGCCTTGAACAACCGCCTTGTCCTCACGTCGTCCCAGACATGTCTACAAACTCATCGTCTCGGGAGGAAATATAACCAATGAGATAATATGAAATAAGGGCAATAATTTATTGAATAAACTTTGTATTTGCTAACATGAAACTAACATAGCACCATCGTCAACATAACAAACACTGTCAATATGAAGTTCTCTCACACACGCCCGGAATTCATAACGTCATCTTCACAATGAAGTCCTGGGGGGAGATCTAGATGTTTCGTTCACCACCATGTTGGACCAACCCAGTTGGGCATGTTGAACTACTGCATCTTAAATGATCTTGGAATGTCTGCACACAGCAATACAGACACAGTTCTGACTCGGACGTTTCTTGATTCGTTGGTTACCCTTGGGGTTCTGTTAGTGATGACATCGTCATCAGAGATTTTAGCGGGTCTTTGAATGTCTCGTACGTGGAGCATTTTACCGGCATGCATCCTCAGATCTTTGGCAGCTGTTAAGCTGTAAACAGTGTTACAGTTTATTGGTAGAAACTGATGTTTCCATCTCAACACTGCAATACGTACTCATTAAAACTGATAAAAGACATAAAAAAAAATGACCAATGAGATCTGAACTAGGTGGTTGTCTTTGGGTTAACATGCACAGTCCAATGGGATTCGTCCCTGCAGGAACATTCAGCAAAGTTCCTGAACTTCAGCAACACCTTGACTTCAGCATCAGGTGACTCTCTGATCTATAAGGTTGTATCCAGGAGTCATTTAATGGGAGGCTGCAATTGGCCCAGCACATGCTGCTGTCCCACAGCTGCATCCACAAACAGTTTGATGTCCATGCCGGGGTGCGTCTACACCCATCAACCATCACAGCTCAACTAAAGTGAAACATAAGGTACCCGATCTGTCGTGTTCAGATGTACTCGTCACTCCTCCACTTGATGCGAGTACACCTGGGGAGCCTTGCAGAGACAGGAGGGACTTGGTTCCTGAGGTGAAGTCACTGTCGCTCCGTGGCGATTTGTGTCGGCGCTTGTGTGCGTCGTTGAGGGATGCGGTGCTGCCTTCGAGGCTGCTGACATCGGAGTTGGATGAGTGGTACTCGTACATGCATCTCAGCTGGAGGATGTTCGCCCGGAGCTCGATGAACTGTTTGAGGAGAGATTTGTCTTGCTCCTTCATCTGTAGCTGTGGAGAAAGAAGGAAAGTGTTACGGGTGGTTTACATTGAATGGCTAGTATTCTGTGAGTACGAATGGCTAATTACATCAACTGTATAACAAAGTGGCAGCCTTAACACCGCGATCTGAAGTTAGTCGAATATCGACCAGGCAAACAACTGTTGTCTACCTTCAGTTCACACTGCCAACCGACACGGAATATAATCTGCATGGTCACACATATATTACCATGTGGTTCTCTTTTCGGTCGTATGAAGATTGGCCATTAAATGCCAATAAAATAGCTTCCATGGTGTCTCCAATACAGTTGACAATAAATCGTGTTCTTATTTTGTTTTAAAATATCATATCACTACAGATTAAGTTGTTCGTCAGTGTCTACACACACGATGTGATTGTCCCTGAATACAGCAAGCGGGATCACAGAACTCTGACAAATCGTGTTCCTTCTCGCATGCAACTAAAATAATCCATCATCAAACTGAATTTTGTACAAAACTAGAAACTGAGTTTTATGCCACTTTGAACAGTATTCTGGTTATGTAACATTTTGTAACTATATGCTGTAGGAAAGGGAGACTGACTGAGTTTGGTTTTACGCCGTTTTTAGCAATATTCCAGCAATATCACCGCGGGGGACACCAGAAATGGACTTCACAAATTGTACCCATGTGGAGAATCGAATCCGGGTCTTCGGCGTGACGAGCGAGCGCCTTAACCACTTAAGGCTGCCCACCGCCCCCAGGAAAGGGAGATGGTGTTGCAGGTTCACCACTTGTATTATTACTACGTACAGGAATATGGTGTCGAAACTAAGTAGATGGATAGGTTTAATATTATCTTGATAAACAAAGAAATGCGTGTGTAAATGAAAACTAAGAGAGTTAATTCCTATCACGAAAAAGAAACAATTTAGCCAAACGAGACGCAAAATTATTGAATACGCAAGCCAAGATAGTGTGGTTAAATGAGGCAGGGTAGTGTTGATCCAATTTGTATAACCTCAGACTGGATGTAAGTCCAATCAGTGGTATGTTGTTGGCGTTGAAAAAGAAACTGTGCTTTCTTTACCTGAATACTTTTGGGCAAAACACCAAAACGACTAAAACACTGACTGTATCGCTTATGCAAGTCAATGTCAAACTGAAGCAGCGATAAGA